CGATAATCCAGTATTCTGTGTAAAGATTAACGGTGTTGTAATTATTAAAAGTAAGTTGTTATAAGGTGAACATTACGATTCAAAGGATCAATAAATTTGTTCGTGAATTTTTGGCCCGAAACAATTTCGTAATGATGTTCAGCTCCGTGTGACTTTTTCGCATTTCCAAAAATACCATAAAGAGAAGCTTAAAGGCCGTCGTTTTATAGGCACTTAGAAGGCATTAAAAGCGCAACGCTGAAACAGGTAAAAGCTATTGCAAAAATCGAGTTTCAGAAGTGTTTAAACGATTGTAAGAAGCGCCGGCATAAGTGCATAGTATTGAATGACGATTTTTTTTGAAAAACATTATTGTAGACAAATGAATAAGTATTTTTTTCAATAAACGAAACATCCGTTAGTTTTGGAACACTCCTCGTATGTACATACATGTATGTATACCTTATCGAATCATAATAACGGCCAATCACGCCATCTTACGAATACCTAGAAGTGATTGTAGTAGGATTCGAACAATACAATCCATAACAAGCTTCGCTGCTTTGTTTGAGCTACAAGAACTTAATTATTGTATTTGCAAAGGTTGTTGAAGTGAAAATCGGTTAATTTCATTCTCCGATTAAGTGACACTGACAGTTTACCAATGTGGTTGATAAGAATAAAATATAGATTTTTATACTTTTATATTTATATTTTATACTAAAACATCAATCAATGTTCGGTGATTGCCCTCAAGCTTATATAAAGTAAAAATGGCAAATACAAAAGTAATAGAGCACTCTCAGACGACAACACTCTCTGTCTCGCATTAGTACGTATCTACAAAGCGGTTTTAAAAGTTTAGTAAGCACACTCCCTCATTAACAATTAAAATATATATGTATATAACGTCAAAAAATATGCAGCAAGAATTTAGAACTTTTTCGTGAGTTCGAAACAAAGTTTGAGCCATTCAAGTGCAACCTTCACGGCAAAGGAGTAAAATATGACGAAACGGGAGTAGCGCAAATGTGAAAAACACACATGCATACATGGTGGTGAAAGTAATGAATGCAGAAAGCCATTTCGCTATAACAAAGCTGAATGTCGGCATGTACCTTTAATTGGCCAAACTTCTTATAGTACGCATAACCAGTCGCCATTTCTCATCGTTATGCGCAGTGATGCTGTAGCAAGACTGCAAATCTAATGGGCCCGAGGGGTGTTTGGGTGGCGTGCGAAACTTTTTCAAGTGCAAATTGCAGTTGCACAACCACTTCGACACAGCCACTCCATTCGTTTTCTGCTCTTTCCCGAAAAGTGAGCTATGCTGCACAAAAGTACTGCACTTCAACTTCCACTGAAATGTGCAACGCAGAGCTTGAAAAGTTTGCTTAAACAACGGCGTGTCTTTGGAGTTTGAGAAATTGTTATGGATGAACTGCAGCTAACAGCAGACTTGAGCAAATCATAAACTATTCGCACAAAGATTCTTGCATTGCTCAAAGTACTCGTTGCACGCAACTTATGCAAGTGGAAGTGTCGAATGTGTATGCTGCATGCAGCAAGGCAGTAACAAACACTTTTCGTTCTAGCAAGTAGTCAAACGGGTTTTACACTCGATTTGCTGGAAATTGCGTAGAAAATATTGATTCGAAAGTGTTTGAGGGAAACAAAATTTTATGAAGACTTCAATTTTAAGCTATTACATATACATATATAGGTATCTTACACATTAAAATTGTGAATTAAAGTATAAAAATCGAATATTTACTTGCTTCGAAAACTAAATATTGTTCTAAAACTTACATGATTAGTAGCAGGCTAAGTTTTTGGACTTTATAAAAAAGTTTAAAGTATTACAGTGGCAAAAAAAGCAATTGAAGGTGAATAAAAAATGTAATGAAAAAACTTTATTTTATTTGGGTGCTTAACCAAGTTCACATGCACTCTTCACTGAGCGAGTTTGAACTAAAAACCTACAAACACAAATTATTCTCGTATGCGAGTACATACATACTCTAGACCAGCACGAAAGCGCATGCAACAAGCAGGAATACTGAAAATCGCTCTGTATTTTTTTGGAAAAGCATGATTTGTTAGTCATAGCTTATGTATGTACATATATATGTATGTATAGGTAATTACAAACTTCAAAAACTTTATTTATACATGCTGTAATATCAGTGGGAGCATTTGTGTGAGCCTAATTATACAAGCACTTGCAAATATATGTATGTACTTCATATATTACATATAGAATTACATATGAAAAAGCTGTCTGGAAAGACACGTTAATAATTCAACAAAAACTGGAACGAAAATAAATTTTTTAACATACTTTGGAGCGTTTTAAACAGAATGAAACCGGTTTATTCGTTTTATAGCTATATATGAGACTTGGATCTACCACAATGATCCTAAATTGACACCAGAACGTTTACAGTAGACTGAAGCTGTTTGTTCAGCTACAAATCAGTTTTTTGGTATGCAAAAGAAATTTGGTTAATTAATTATAATTATCTGCAGAAAGATAAAACAATCAACTCTGAATATTATTTCTGTCTTTTGGATCAGCTGGGTGAAAAAATTCGTGAGAAAAGATCTGAAACAATTCCATCGTGGAAAGCGTTTTTCATCGAATAAGCAAGCTATTAGTTACAACCGTAGCCGTATATTTTCCAGAGCTTCCGGAAAGTCATTATAGGGATGGCGTGAAATTATTGGAGGATCATTGGAATAAGTGTATTGAAGTTAAGGGAGTTTATATTGAATAAAAAAATATATTACATACCAAAAATAGTATTTTTTCATTTCGAGCGTAGAAACTTTTCAACCAACCTGTATGTTAGATAATTTTCTGATCTTCAATATTGTCTGAACTAATTTTACGATAAAACTTACCGTTTCTAGCTGCAATACTAAAACTATAAATTTTAGTTTGTTTTTTCTTAAATGTTTGACAACTCTCATTGTTCAAGGTTCAGTATTAGTTTTAAAGATTTACAAGCTAATTGTGACCTCTTATCAGAGTTATTTAAACTATTCACAAAGCAAATTAACGAAAATGTTTGACAGCTTGTATATTGAACTACAATTATGTACATACATATAAGTAAGCAATAGAATGTGCAACTATGTATATTTGTATCGGTCGATGCATCGTAAATTTTTACCAAAGGATGCTGCAATTTTGCAATATTCGCGCGTTGCGCACAATGCGAAATCTTAAGTAGAATTTTAATGCGTTGCTTAAGGCGCGTGCAAATTTTCACATCCATCTCATTCGGTCAGCTAGGCGGATAGCTGGGCAGACCGACGTCACGCCAAGCGGCGAATGGACTATTATTCCGTCTTGCACACAGCCATTCTTCCGGCATTGTTATAAAACAAGCAAACGCGAAATACTCAGAAAGTATTCTTCACTTTACCGCATGTCTTACCGACCTGTGCCAAAGGGCGCCAAATGTACTGAACTGCATTAATATAAAGAAAAAGTAAGTAAGTTTGGCTATGTGTATGCAACTTCTCCTTTAGATTTGTTTGTACGAGTACATACGTAAGTCTGTCGCTGTGAGACGTCTCTCGCAACGGATTGCTTCGTCCATTATTTACAAGATCTGTCGCTCCGTCGGTGTTTGGTATACATACGTTTTACTTTACTTTCTGTCAGCATTTCATTCGGTTAACTGCAAGTGGCTGGGTCTTCTGTTGCTATCGGTGTGATTATTCGATTGTCAGAAGATTTGGTTTTTAATGCAGCAATTGCAGCTTGCAAGCAACAAATCGGCAGCCCTATCCATCTACTTGCTGCGAAGGCGTCTGTTGTTGTTGCCATTGCCATTTGCCATTTTCATTGCCTTCCATTTGACGTCTTTTCTTCTCCACATTGTGTGGCCCGTTTTGTCTACGATTGCCTTATTTTCAAGTGCTTGTACTTGATGTCATTCACTGTTATTTATTGTTATTTCATTCGTCCGCGACTATCCTCCACAATTGTTGTGCAGTTTTCTGCAATTTTAATTGAAATTCAAAATAACTCCAATCTTAGTTTTTATTGCCACTGCGCTCTGTTGCTGCATTTCTTAGTTGATTGTTAGTAAACTGGTCTCCACTGTCTTTGATCAAGTTCTGTATATAGCAATTGTTGTGATTGCCTCTCGTTTTGTTTGACTTCTCACGCTATTTACGGTTTGTTTATGTCTGGCGGCACCGTTTGCTTGGTGGCTTGCTGTCGCTGTTGCCAATTGCCTTGTATTGGTCCCGCATCGCATTTGCCTTATTGGATGCTGAGTTGCTGGAAAAGTTGAAAGTAATTAGAATTGCAATTACTTCCAAATGGGTTTACATTATTTCCGATGTTATCCTTAATTTCAAGTAATCGCATTTCTAGACTAATACATATTTTGTCGCGAGTTTTTCAGAATAATATTCGCACATACACATGTATTATGTGGAGAGTGGTGTTTTCTGCTCATATTAATACATTCTTTCAAAGACATTGCCATATTATTTCGTATATGGAGATAGTTGCAGAACTTTGGTATTGAAATTATTGTCTGAGCAATTGAAATTTTATAATTTTATTTCCGCCTTGCCCTAATCTATATCTAAATCTAATATATAATATCTAAATAATGGACGTCTCTTATGGGGTCGGTTATAGCAATACCTGTTAAAGGCTATACGCTAGCAAATTAATAAATCAAATCTATGAAATTTATCTCTTATGGCGTAAGTCCAAATATTAAAGTTTGTGATGTGTTTCTGGAAACTATGCTTGAGACTCCTGAATTTCCGTCTTTAGGCTGTAAAAGAGTATATACATGTTTATGTATGTATGAAGAAATTTTTCGTTGAAGTATTCACTGTAGTTTTTTTTTTGCAATTCTTTATATCTAATCTATCTTACTTGTACAAAACAAAAAACGTTACGTTATGCCAAGCTTTCAATCTTCCTTTCATTTTTTTTTTATATTTGTACGTCAAATTTTAAAATTTTTCCATATTTTTGTTTTCAGGTTATCTACATAATACATAAACAATCACAGTTGAAAATTGGTAAGTGCACAAGCATTCTTCATATTTATTTTATGTCAAAATATACGAATATACATTTTCGATGATGCACAAATAACTGATAGCGTTTTCGTTTCTCACAAAAATATTGCATTTATTCAGCGCTATACCCGAGCTGTTAAAGTTGCGTGTTACTTTCACAGAATGTTGCCAGCTAACCAGAAAAAAGTGCAACATTTTACAACTCAAGAGTGAGAGTTGCCCAAATGATTTTTATTTATCAGCTGGAATTTATTGTTATTTATTTTAAAATCAACTTTTTCTACTAATTATAATGAATTTTTAAATTTTGTTAAGCTCAATAATGGCTATTGCGAATGAGTTGGTTAGTTACTTTTGCTAATGGAAGAGGGTATTTTTCTTACTGTTTTGAGTTTTGGCTTTTATGGCCAAGAACGTAAAAATACAATAAGTACCTTAATCAAAAAGAAAAGAAAAACTTTTTTTGAAGAAAAACTTTTTTAAAATCTATCTTATTTTGTGTCACTCCGTCGCTTAATAGCAGCAGCAGTTTGTTTTCATTTACAACGTCATTAAAGTTGACTTCCTGATTTTCTTGGCTGCTTGAAGTGCGACCATTGCAAATTGAAAGCGTTGATGAGCAAGCAACAACTGCAAATATTTATTTTCAAATTGAAATAAGTCATTATTTTTATTAAAATACGAGTCTCTGCCTAATTTTGCAAATTAAACTTCATTCCGGCTGCCAAGCGACTAAAAAATATGAAAAATTAGCAGTGAAGTGGTGAGGCAATAACATAGTCTGACAGGAACGATCGCTGTGTGGCATACATACATGCAGACGAACAAAGCTAATATATATACATATGTTATATATGCGTATGTATAATGCATATGCATGTGTTTAAGTATGTGCGGCTACAAAAAATAACTGAAAAAGGAACTTGAAAGTTACGAATTGAAGATAATGTCAGTGTTGTCATGAAATAGGAGACTATTTTCATTCGAAGGAATTATACATACACATGTATATGTACATATGTTTGTAAGAGAAATCTAAGAGAAGTTCAACCAATAGATGGTTTCGTTACTCGCCTGCGTTTGTGCAGACGTCGCGTATTTTTAGTGTTAATGATAATTACGAGCTCACTCACTCGCCAATGATAAAAATGTCTTCTGATAATGAAGACGCTGCTATTGCGCTGTGCTCATGGGTTCCGCTATTTGACTTTCTTGCTCCGTATATTTTATGGCGTCAAGTGCGTGCTGCTGCTTGCCGCCTGCTGTCATTACTCAAGTTGACATTATTTTTACGCCATTTGACACAAGAACTCATTAACAACACTTGGTGGAGTTTTTCTTGCGCAAGCAGACAAAGTGACAACAACAATAAAAGCAACATTCAGTTTATGATGTGACGGTCTCACTGCCGGGTTAAACAGATTTATGCCCCATAATACATTCACATGCACATACATAACTATGCACCACATACATACACATGATGTGGTAAGCGACATACAATTGCAGACGCCACAGTTAGTTAGTGGTAGAAGGAATGTGCTACCCTAATCTAAGTTCATATTAGTATATTTATCTAGAATGCTCCTAAAACAAGAAAACACACTAACTTCGGTTGCACTGAAGCTATAATACCCTTCACAAATCCAAAGGTTCCTTACAAGAACCTATTTCCGATCTAATATCTCGCCAAATAAAAACGTTTCCCATACAAACACTTGATTCCGATTGTTTTGTTTGTATGGCAGCTATATGCTATAGTAGTCCGATATCGGCCGTTCCAACAAATGAGCAGCTTCTTAGTGAGAAAAGGACAGGTGCAAAATTTCAGATCGATATCTCATAAACTGAGAGCCAAGTTGGCATATACCTATACAGACGGACGGACATGGCTAAATCAACTCAGCGCATCATGACGATCATTTATGTATATATTTTATAGGGTCGGTCCGACGTTTCCTTCTGTGTGTTACAAACTTCGTGGTAAACTTAAGATACGCTGTTCAGGGTATAATTAGAAAAACAAATTAAGCAAAAGTGAGGTTATATTTGACTACAAAATAGTTTTGTGCTCACTTTAAACACTACGAAGACATGCCGTTGAGACTTTCCTGCTGCAATGTACCATGAACCAAAAAAAAAATCTTGTACAGAGAGATGTTTTTTGATGTTTTGAAGGGACTTTTTACTTAAACTATTTTAGCTTTTAAGCTCCAACCAAGAGTAACAAGATGAGAATCTTATATACTTTTCATATGTTCATAAAAATTCTAACAATACATTAATTTTGATGTTAATCATTGCAAAAAACTAAAATATGTCACCTTTCAACAGCAAAAAAAACAAAATATTTATACGGTTACAGCAATCGAGTAGTTACCGTTATTTTTGTCTGGTATTATTTGTGTATGGTCAAAATTTATTCTTTGGTAAGCGAATTTCATTTGTGCAGTTGTAGTTTTTGCAGAAAAGGTGGTGAATAAACAGACATAAACATAAAGGACCTGAAGCATTCTGCTTGAGTGGTTAAGGAATGGTTGTTGTATAATTTGAAAAAAGTGCTGCCAAATCCTACACAGAGTCCAGACCGCAATCTCATTGAACACCTGTGGGCTTATATGGAGACGAAGTTACGAGAGCGCAAAGTTAATAGCAAAACTGAGGTTAAAGCTGCTCTTCAGGAAATGTGGAAAAATATACCTTCTGAACTTACAGAAAATTTGGTGCATTAAAATACAACGATAGCGGGCAAAGGTGCACATAAAAAGTATTAATTAAATATTGTTTAAATGTCAATTTATGCAAACTATACAATTTTTTTTTTTTGATCTTCGAAAATGGAGTTAATTTGTATTTTTAAACCATGGGATGGTCAAACCATTTCGCTGTACAGTTTTTTTTTTTATTTACTGTATGTTAGTTTTTTAATAACATTGCGAACATCCCAATGTTCAATGTCTAATTCTCAACCACTTTTTCTAGCATAGTCGTTCATGTGCGTACTTTGACAGTTATCCCACTAGAAAATTATATATAGTAGCTCTAGAAACCACTCTATATGATATAGTGCTAATTAGTGATACTTAGTACTAAGTAGTGATACTACTATATATCATATAGGCTAATTTTATTTTTAACCGGGTAAGATATTTTTACCCACGTAATATATATTTGTACCGCATAATCAGGGATTGGATTATTGTATGTATAGCCGTAAAAATAACTCTGTCAAATCGTGGTGCTGTTCTACACCACTAGCTGTCCGTCATGACAGCTGCTGCACACGCCAATGCTGCATAGTTTTAAACGCGTCTCTACTCGTAAAGACATTTTCGTATTTTTGTAAATACCTGCAAGTGAGCTTTCACTTGCTGCTCGCCGATATTTTCCGAAGCGTAATTCCTAAATTATATATTTTCTCCACACTAAAATTTCCTATTTTTCACGAATGCAGCACCACCGAATAATGCTATATTAGCTTGTAGCGGGTTTTCACCTACGCCGTACATATGTATGTACATATATACATATATACGTCATTAGACACGTCGCCAAAAAGCAACACAATTCTGCCGGCCACCAGTCGCCTTTAAACAATAATTGAGGCGTGTAATTATAAGTAAATTTATGTAGTCCATACATAGGCGTTAACATATGAAAACGTGTGTATATATACTTGCATTATTTTATATACTTACATATATACAAACAGATCTATTTACTTAGTTTGCTTGCCGATAATTGAGTTCTGAAATATTTTTCTTCTTTCGTCTGAAGCTGCAAATGCGCTTTCGCCTTTTTGTAGTAGCTCATTAATTTTAGAATTGCTGCTTTGTGACAACGCCGATGCACTTAATTGTTTTTGTTTATGAAAATTACAAAATAAAATCCATATAAATAAATGGCGCATGTGGCACGTTTATGGCATTTATATTCTTTGTGGCCTTCCGAGCGCACCCGTTTCTCAGCAAACATCAAAAAAAAAAAAGTTTTAAATAAAAATAATTTCTATGTGCAACCGCACAAATTGCGCGCCGATGTCTGATTCCGCTGCAGGCTGCCCCGTGACGTTTGAGATATACAAATATACGCATACACAGCTGCATATATTCGGCTGTTCATTTGGAAAGTGCTGTACCCAGGCAATCAACAAGAATTAACTCATAGCATAAATCGCCTTTAATGTCGGCATTAAGTCCACATAAACATATAACATAAACTACTTTCCCCCTCCAATTTTGAGCTTTTTAATTGAAGATTTACGGCTTTAGGTGGAAAATATTTAAAAATGCTTTTTAACAAATCCACCGTAAATACTCGAACTTTAAAACATTCTCATTGTTTTTATACACATTTTTGTGTATTTAATTCCATATTAAACAAGTTTGTAGGAATTATGTTATGTATAGGAAAACGCCCTGAACAGGGTATATTAAGTATGTACATATATAGATGATCACTGTGACAAGCTGTGCCGATTTAGCTGCCTGTCCGTCCGTCTGTCTGTATATACGCGAACTTGTCCCTCAGATATTGATATATCTATATTTTGAACACTTGATTTTCTGCCGAGAAGCTGCTAAACAAACTAAGAGATCAAACTCAAGTCCTTGTATTGTATGAAAAACTTTTTTATTTGACAAGGTATCTTCAGGAAATTTAAAACAGATTATTATCCAGGACAACGCTACAAACTCCGAACATACCTATATATTGTCCAAGCCGGATCACTGCAGCTTATATGTAGCTGCCATACAAACTGGACGATCAAAAACAAGATAAACATCTTTTATAATTTTGTATGCTATAAAAATTTAGCTGTGACGGGTTTTATAGTTTCGGTGCAGTCGTTCGCGTTTTACTTATTTTTAGAAATTATTTAATTACATTTGAAACAAGTGGCAAGAAGAGTATATTAAGTATGTTTAGAAATACATCAAAACAAGTATATGATTACATTCCAATGCAAGAAAGTTTGAATCCCATTAGTTTACTTAAAA